TCAGCATATTGAAGCACTGTTCAATTCAGCTCCGAGACTCCCTCAAACACCTGACACATAAAACTACCAGAATAATAGGGTGATTCGGCAAAATACAATTTAATTACAAGTGATGTATAACCTTATTAGATCATACAGGATGATCTAAGTGTATAACCTTTATTATTTGCCAACCAGACGCCATCTTGTCAGCTAAAATGTCACGTGGTTTGGATTGCCTAATTTGTTTAGGGTTATTTTGTTACAAGGGGCGCGGTCATCAGCAGTCAGCTCCGAAATAGCGTTCAAACGATTTTGACCCATATTCGATATTCAAGCTATGAAGAAACTCTGACCGAGCGGGACTAGGTTCGAAATCGCATTGAGTCCAGACTTTTTTAAATTTATTTGAAGTTATGTATATCTTCATAGTGAAACAAATTGCTAAAATATGTACCTACTGGGGAAAAATACCATTATGGGAATTATTGAATAAGAGTAGAATAATTATTTTGAAAAATAATTGAGATAATTTTTCCAAGTTGATGTAGGATTTAGAGGGAGATAAATAGTAATTTTCCAGTTTGTCGGTTTGTTGAAGATATTATGTAGAAAATTAGATGAACTTGGTTAAACTTTATTCAATATAAATAATTACATAAATCCTTAGTTTTTCAATATGATACGTGTCGCCGTCATCATGGCTAGAAAATTTTAAATCATCAGAAATATGATGGAAGTTCCAGAAAAGATGTTTCATTTTTGGGTAATTATTCTCAAGGTCATTGTAGTCAAAATCAAACAGGGGAGCCCCAGCACCAGGACCCCCCCGCCGCCACTCGACTAGCATGCAACTTTCAGCTTTAAACGTTTCCGTTTACTAGCATCCAACGCATTTGGCCAGTCGAGTGGCTGATAAATGTTCACTAAAATATTCTATTTCGGGTACCCTTTTCAACCCATCTCTCTCTATCTCACAACGCGCCTTATGCTCTATAGCAATCAATGCATTGGGCTCTGTGTAAAAATAGCCGAAAATTATAAACTATTCAAATTTAAACTTGGGGCTAAGGTTGCATGGTTTCATAATTCTATTGGTATGATAATATTATGATCTATATAGGTAATTCAATACGTCGATTATTCTGACCGATATATAACACGAATAATTAGAAAACGCCATTGGCGATCGATGGTGGTCTTTCCGCAATGTTTTAGCTTATGCATGCGAAACTTCTGAGATCAATTTTCGCGATGGTATTATATAGGTACTAGGTGTTTTTTCAATAGGCATTATCCATTTTATACACAAACAATCATTAAGAATTTTTCGATAATTATAGTAATACAAATATTTTCGTAACGAATTATTTTTTTGTCCATATAACCTGCTAATCTAAACTTGAAAAAATAATCAATAAATTCATTGACTTTTGTACATGCTCCTGGCAAATTTCTTCAGTAGATGCCATTATACAAAAATCATCAAGATATGCCACACAAACAATGCCCTGCTCTCTCAAATTCCTAACAATAGGTTTGTTGAGCTTGGTGAAAATGTAATTTAGTTTAGTTTATTTATCGGCAAAGTATTACACTAAAGTGCTTTTACCGGTCAGATATATAAAAAAGAGAGAGAAAAAATGTTACAATGGATATAGAATAGTAAAAAAATTACAAATAGTAGGACAAAGCTTATTAGGTAAGATACTATTGGTAGCAATACATAGTAAAACAACATCACAAAATAGAGTCCAGTACATTTACATATTAAAATCACTTTCTAGATACTCCTCTGGAATAGAAGGCATTTTTCAAAAGATACGTTTTGACTTTGGATTTGAAATAGTTGAAATCTCTAACCTGTGGTAGCTCAGGACTAAATTATCTCTATTCCTAGTTGAATGAGTGGATATCCCTATGTGATCTGAAGTCTACTAGGTTCAGTTTTATGTGGATTAGACAGGGATATATAAAAGTACAAGGAAGTGTAAGGAGTCTCAGTTCTGTGAAACTATTTCTACAACATGGGGTGGATTTAGTTCTTTTAGATTAAGGATGAACCTTGCCTTAACATTGAATTTTTTTATCAAAAAACATGGTGAGACAAACTGGGATACTACTTCCTTGCATTCAACAGCTGCTCCCAAATCAAGAAGGTGATTTACTTCTAACATCAATTCCCTGCATTCATTTTCAGAATGATTCCCCTGTGTAACAAAGCCTTTGGCTTTTCAACAAAAGGAATCTTGTAACCAGATATCCATTTCAGGATTTCTGGATGTGGTGATAGGATGGACTTCCATTGATTTTTGGAAAACCTCAAACTACCTGCAAAGAGAAAAAAACTCACCTTTCTATCTACTTCTGAGTGGGAGGCTAATAATAATAATGTTTTTTGGCTTGGAGATATTGCCCCTTCTGTCTGTGATCTCTCCTGTATCCAGACAGGCCCCTCCAGTTTAAAGAATCACCTCTTTTATATGTACCACTACCTGATGAGCTTGTACTTGGTAGTGGATTACTAGGCTTCTTGAATACAGTATCTGTTTTTGATTTGAGATCTATAACTGATCTCTCAACAGCTTTTGCTGTTTTTATATGCTCACCCAGGTTTGATCCAAATAACAGCTCCCCAATAGGTGCTGCACTTGTCAGCTCTTTGACAGTTTTACTCAACATAGGTGTAATGAGGGCTCTCCTAGTCAGTGACATATTGTAGTGAACATCTGTCAACAATTTTCCTGACTCACTAAGAAGGCCAAGAACTGTGTTCTTGTTTTCTTTATTATCGTCTTCCTTCAAGAGGATGTTGATACCAGCCCCTAGGGCAGCAAGGCCCTTTCCTAACTGGCTCTGTTCAGCTGTTGTAACTTGTCTTTCTTATATCTGAAGGCATAGCCTTCAGAATTTCAGGGTTTATATCTGGGGCCTTCAAAAATGTTAAATTTGTTGGAGGCAAATGTAGCTCCATTAGCCTTTCTTTTTCTCCTTTATCAAGCCCTTCTGTGAGTATGGTTTTCCATCTCTTTTGGAGGGGATCGTGATCGCGAATGCTTTCGCTTTCGGTCCCTCGGATCAGTTCCATCGCTTTTGCTATGCTTCCCCATTTATCTAAAAGAGGAAAATATCAATATTAATAATATTAAATATATCACATATTTCAAAAAAATCAAACAAGGAAAAAAAATGTAACACCAACGCGTACACAATACACAAAAAAGCGTAATGACACTAATGACGTACACGGTACATGGTCCAGTCACTCCAGTCAGTAAGGAAGGGTGCTGTATGATAAAAACTCTTCTTCTTACTTAATACATTGTGGCATCAACCGTACAGAAGAGTGGTACTACCTAGCTAAAACAAGTGATCTCGAGGACGAGGTGCCGAAATATAATAAATAATTTGAGTTTTATAGTTTTCCTGTTTTATGAAATATAATCTGTTTTTCCTCGAGAGTTCTATAAGTTCATTGAGCATCACAAAAATCTCGAAAATATTAGGTAGATATGTCATAACAAAACATGACCATTCAGACAATATTCAGACTATCAGACTATTTAATCACTTAGATCATATGATCTAAGATTATTAATCATTCCAGAATTACGTCATCTGACAGGTTGCATTGTATTTTGTCAAGATTTGTCATATGAAACCAGAATTAGTGGGATCGTATTCCTCGGAATCCGAGTTGGAATCAGAAAGAATTTCATAATTTTGTTTGGTGAAACATGGTGAAACATGGTGAAACTATGGCTAGGGCTATGCACATCAAAGGTAACCTAACAGATAGTTTGTGTGCCCCTCAAGGAACCATGTCAAAATCACGTGTTCTGGAATGGTCAATTGCCTTGAACAGTAGAACGGAGACGAAAACAGTAGATCTACTGTTAAAATCATGTTAAAATCATATACGTATTAATAATCAATACGGATAATCTATATCTGTTTCCATAGCGAAACATGAAGCCGATTTTTGAAGACAAATGACTATCCATAAGGAGAAGTTTTGAAACGATCAGACACATACTGCTTTGATTGAAAGGCTAGTAAACGTCATTGTCCACCGAAACGCATGTCTTTGATGACTACTATAATAGCGCATGGCGCATGCGTATCATGCCACCAAATCCTTATGGATATTTATTTGTTTCATATTTTTGGCTTCATCCTGGCACCCGTTATGATCCGTATTGTTTATTAATACGTATATGGTTAAAATATGGTGACTACAAATCGAGTTCATTGACCGATGGTAACGGCTGAGCTCGCTGCTTTCCGGGAAACGGGAAGTGTAGTACCTAGCAACCTAGCTCGGTACCGTGGGACCGCTCGATGTAACTAGCTATGTACTCAAACGACATTAGCACAAAGCAAGGAATGCTACGAAGGCACGGAAAGAAAAAGAGCAATTTAATCTCAATACCCTCTTCACCTCAGACGAATAAAAGGAATTTAGCGGGAAATTTATTCACCAAAATACTAGTGTTAGGCATTTTCTTTGTTTCAGGTGAAAAAGCTGAAGAATACACATTGATGAATAGCGGAAAAATACGATTCATATGCCAAAATAATTGTGGAAAACTATTTTGATCATTTGTAAACAAATAAGAAAAGTGACGTTGTGTTTCAATGTTTTGCCTCCAGCGTCGGTCATCTGACAGTTCTTGCTCTCAAAGGTTATGTCAAAGGTGTTATCATATCGCCTGCTGAAAGGAATTTTGCAATGTCTGATGATGTCTGATGTCCTTTTCTTATTTTTAGATGACGCATGCGCTGTAATACAGTTGCGCTGGCAGACTGTCATTCTTTGGTCATTTATTTTATTTTTTGGATTTTTGGCTTCACTTGGAGATCCTTGTTATTCGTATATTCCGTATATATTTAGTATTTAGTAGGTATATATAGTCACAGTGTATACTATTCTTTGTATATTATGCTCTAGCCACAGAATCTAGCTCAATCACTAAAAGAAAAATGACAATCACATTCTAGATGAACCGAATGAAAATTGAACCCTTGTAGATGTTGATGTTGGTAAACCAAACAGAAAATAAGCACAAATTTCGTTCAAGTATCATTGAGAAATGGAACAACCTAATAACCAACAAACGGCTATGAGATTGCTGGAAGAAGGTGCTTTCCTAATATTCCTAGATGTACCGGAAGGCACCGAATTTGGTATTGACATGAAATCATGGAATACTGGAGATAAATTTCGTGGAGTAAAAATGGTGCCACCAGGAATACACTTTATATTTTTTAGTGCTGTTTCTAATGCAGGGGACATATCTCCTAGGACTGGATTCTTCAAATATTTCAGAAAATCTGAAGTTGTTGTTAGAAAATGGGACATAAAAAATGAATGCATTAGCAAGGAGGTTGTTTCTGAAGAAGATATCATTGGCTTGAAGGATAATTTAAGAGAGCTTGATAGTTTTTTGGGTCCATATCCCTTTGACATACATAGCAAATGGCTGTGCTTGACTACTTATATCACAGGTAATAATTTACAGTACATTATTATCACCAACTCTAAAAAAAACAAGCTATTTATATTTTTAGAGAGTATGATAGAACAACTGATTCCACTATCTGGTTATATCCAGTCAGCATTAGAATTGGAATCCTGTACTGATGCAGATAGGCCTAGAGGAAAGCCTACATCTAATTCAGAAATATCTGTGAATTCTGATCCAAGACGTTTGAGGTTAACAGATGAACTGGAGGATAAACTTTTGCCCAAATTGAAACCCAAAATAGGAACAGATTTAAGATACACACCTTTTCCCCATAAAAATTATCCTGAAGGAGCCACACCTTCTCAAATAACCCAACATTCCTTAGATTCTTCCTATGTGCTAAATCTGATGATTAGCTCATACTCCAAGTAAGTGCATTTGTCTAGACAATTCATTTTTTTCTTTCTACCTACTGTTCAATCTATGATACATTTGCAATATTTTCTTGTTACAGCAATTCAGACATATTAGGTGAGATGCAAATTTGTTATATTTGCTTTTTGGTTGGCCATAGTTTGGAAGCTTTTGAACAATGGAAAAAATTATTCAGTCTGTTCTGTTCATGTGAAACTGCTATCACAAAATACCGTAAACTGTATGATGCATTCATTTCTCTGATAGAAATGCAAATCAAAGAGATTCCAGAAGATTTTTTAGCAGATATAGTATCAAATTACAATTTTGTTTATATGAAATTAGGGCAGTTATTTAGAGCCATCCAAGAGTCTGATGTGGATGGTGAATTGAAAATGAAGACAGCTAGACTCAAAAAGAGTTTAATGGAACAGTTTATGTGGGACTTTGAATATTTGGATGCAGAAGATGAAGCACCTGTCATTGTTGAAATATAAACTAGGGCATAAAAATTATCTGACCAGTAATGTTGTTGGGGATGAATTTATGAATGTTCCCTGTGCACATAAAGAATGATGATCAGGACAAATCAAGAAAACAATCAGGATTGACCACTATAATTCATCCCAGAATTCATCTTATAGTGAGATTTTCTTTGACACAGGTTGTTTGAAAAATATATGGGAGGTATTTTATGTTTCAACAATGATGAGTAACAATAAAGGTTATACTCACTTCTTAGTTCATTATTGAAACTCAAAATAAGTTTGTTGTGCATTTCAGCATTGATTTCAGATAGAAAGAGTAGGTTATTAGTAGGTAGGTACCTACCTACCTATCATATAATATCCACAGTCTCATTTTTATATAATAAAATAGTACTAGCTTTAGTATCTTAATCTTAATAATCAACATATTCCTGTAATCCACATATTTATTAAATAATAATTTGGTGGAAAAAGTTTATTAAATGATAATTATTGATGGAATGAAATATTTTGCAAATCTGGTATATTAGAATAATAAGCAAAATACCAACAGAATAGGAATCAGCTGATTTTGATAAAATATTTGGGAATACATTTTGGAGAAAATCAACACTAGTGCTAGTCATTCTAGTGATAGCTCTGTAAATTACAATAATTAAATATATATTACGAAAAATTTGCCTCCTTATGCAGGTAATTATTGTTGAAAACACAATTTCCTGCACTTACTCAATTAACCTACCTAACAAAAATTTGATATTTTATTATTTGCAACAATAGGTACTAGCAGAAATGTTCCGTTCATGTCCCAGATGTTTTTTCAATTAGTGGCGCATTGCACCCTTTGTCCAGAGCCTTGCATCTCGTCATCCTCCTCGTAGGCTTGTCTGTGCTGCCTCTTGCGGGCCTCCTTCTCAGGATCGAATTCCACTAACGTTACCTCTTCGGCCGTATCCGGAATCATGCACTCTTGGCGAGGTGGCAGAGCATTCTCTAGAGCAGGGATTATTTCCGGGGGCAAGGTCTTGGGGAACTGGACCCAGAACTGGACGATGAGACGGCCTTTTTCGAAGGGGTTCTTGTACTGGGGCATTCCTATATCATGTGATATCATGTCATAACATTCATCAATATGATAACCATATTCCAATAGAGCAGTTAGTGTTCCAAGGTAAAAGAATGGAAATTTTAAGTTGGAAAAAATGGAGAAGAAGGTCATATTAACCTCAATATGAAAAAGGTTAGAATGTGGCCAGATAGCCCAGGTAGCTAAGGCCATACAAATCGAAAGGAAGAAGAAGAAGAAGATTAGAATGGCCGTCTTCTCCATTTCTCCATATACGTATTAATAATCAATACGGATAATCTTTATCTGTTTCCATAGCGAAACATGAAGCCGATTTTTGAAGACAAATGACTATCCATAAGGAAAAGTGAGATACGATCAGACACATACTGCTTTGATTGAAAGGCTAGTAAACGTCATTGTCCACGGAAACGCATGTCTTTGATGACTACTATTAAGACGGGTTTCCATTAGGCGGAAAATCCGAAGCGGATTTAAAAATCAACTAAAAAAATACGCTAAGGTTTCCATTGCCAGCTTCATTTCAGCAACGATTTCTTGGGATTTTTTCTGCTACCTAAAAATAATTTGTCATCATCCACAGTTAGTAGCAGTAGTATAACCTCAAAATATGGTTATTATCTCTATTATTATCATTATTATATGTTGGACTGGATACTTTAATTAATGAAATTCAGAATCAAAACCCCAGAAATAAGATATTAAAATTATGCAAGAAGAGGTATGAATAGTTATTGAATACCTACTCATATTTATTTCGGATTTCATTGATACAGAGTACTTCTCATATCTTATCATATAGGGAGAAGAGACTGTGCTACAAATCAATGATGACGAACAGCTTGTTTGCCAAGTATATTTCGAGGTTATTATATCATAATCATATTTTGAGGTTATAAATCTAGTAAAATCCGCAAAAAGTTGGAACTATGTCAACTTATTTGCATATCCGCAAAAAAATTGGCGGCAAAATCTTTCAGTTTCAAGCCATCCAATAGAATTGTGACACTGAAAATCCGCTTCAGATTTTCCGCCTAGTGGAAACCCGCCTTAATAGCGCATGGCGCATGCGTATCATGCCACCAAATCCTTATGGATATTCATTTGTTTCATATTTTTGGCTTCATCCTGGCACCCCTTATGATCCGTATTGTTTATTAATACGTGTATGCATTTCTCATCATTTCCAGTGTTGCCAACATAAAATTTTCATTATTTTATGTTGGAACACTGATGACAAGGACAGGTGGGAAAGACTTTTTTCTCTCTCAATGCTAGCTAGCTGAACTGCTCTATTCATAAACAAACAGAGTGTAGTTTATCTATGGCTCTATTCATGATAGAAAACAACATGTCACCACACCTGAAGACAACAACTTGAACACTTCTGAGCGGTTTTGTTTTGATGACATGGCCAATAAGCACAAACAAAAAACAAATGTGAACCAATGAAAACAAAGTAAACATGCAGCTTTGACAGCTTCCAAGAACTCCTATTTTCTATTGTGAATTATCTAACTATTGGAAAAGGGAATATTCATATTATGAGGAATCAGTCTTGTAAATTTTTCATACTCTGAATCACCCTGATCTGAATGATGAGAATGGTGGACATTTTCAATAGAGAAAGTAGGACTATATGTCTATGAAAACTATCAACAAAACTAACGTTCAAGACATAAAAATGTGGAATGTGTTGACACATAAAAGATTGTCTAATCAAGCAGCTAATATCAACATCTAGAAACACATAGTATAAATGAATCCACTGTACAATATCATCCAATCAATGAAATAGGGAGTCACAGTAAATTAAATGTAGTATGGTATGCTTCATCAATAGACTCAAGTCTCAAGAGCTTCAATATCTAAGCTACAAAGGTAGATCAACTTTTCTTTGTTAATTTGTTAACATTCCTCTACATGAATTTGAAAATGAATCAGTAGGCACAGGAAGGGTTACTGTCTTAAATTGTTTTGTGAATTTTCTTGAAAGCTATGGAGAAAATAACTTCAGCATCATTTCAACTCAACACCCAACAAGTTATATTTATCTAAGGAAGCAGCTACCTCAGGATCAGTAGCCAGGAGAAAAAAAAATCAAATTTATATTCAGATTGATCTCAAATTAGGCACAGTATTTTTCAATCAAGGGCCTAAGGGTGGAACTTACCTTCACTGAGAATGCATTTGACATCCCCATGCTTGATAACCTCACCAGGCATGGCAGTAATCACCAAGTCTCTGTCATCTAGGGTCTTGATGGCCTTCTGAAATCCACAGAGTGCCTCTACAAGCTGAATCTCCATCCTGAGGATCAAATCATTCCCAGATCTCTTGTACACTGGGTGCTCCTTTTCATCCAGCACTATGATAATGTCTCCAGGTTCCAGTTCAGGTTCCTGATCACCCTCTCCATTGAAGATGATTTTTTGGCCATCTGTCATACCTTTGTCAATGTGTACCTCCAGCACCTTACGGTCACGAATCACCTTCTTACCTTGACACTGCTTGCACCTATCTTTTGGGTTGATCCTTTCACCCTGACCACGACAATCTGGACAGACAGTCTGGATTTGCTGCAGCATACCTTGAAGTCATAAAAAACAATAAAAATACTTTGTATAAACAATACTATCAAGAAAATAAGTTAAACAAATTGTTGAATGCGAATAGACTTTTGCTTGTTGAACTATTCCTATAAAATAAAAAAAATGGTACAAGCTGAAAAAACAAACCTGGTCCTAGTTGTCTAACTTGAACCTGCATTCCACTTCCCCTACAAGTCGGACATTGCTCTACAGCACCTTTTTTTCCTCCTCTACCCTCGCATTTATCACAAATAACATTCTTCTGAAGTGCCAATTTCCTTACTGCTCCTTTGTATAGTTCCTCCAAGGTCACAGTCAACTGATGAACAACATCTTTACCCCTACGTTCTCTTCTACCACCACCTCTCGGGCCTCCGAATCCGCCGCTAAAGAACATGTCAAACAAGTCCATAGGGCTGGAAAAGCCGCCGCCGCTGCCACCCTCTTTGAGGGCTTGTTCTCCACCTTGGTCATAGATTTTCTTCTTCTCAGGGTCAGAAAGGACCTCATACGCCTGGGATATTTGTTTGAACTTCTCTCCTTCATTTGGATTTTTATCAGGATGATATTTCAGAGCTAGTTTTCTGTATGCTTTTTTCAAATCATCTTGGGAACAACCAGGTTTGACGCCCAAAATGTCATAAAATTTTGTTTCCTTCACCATGCTGATAGCTCTTCAAATAGTTCTGAAATTATGATGAGTATAGCACATGTGTAATAAAGTGTAGATTGTCTATAGAAAATCGCTACTCACCTAAGGTTGATGAATACTAGAAGATACTTCACGGCTAAAACAGTGAGAATTGGTCAGGTAAAACGCAGGTTCAAGAATTTACGATTTGGAAATATCTGTAGGGGATTTTCTATGAAATATCTATAGAAAATCCAGAATCTAGAAGATCAATGGAACGAAAACGAACTGCAAAAGACTAATCAATTCAATAATTCTAGAAACTTCTACGTGCTTCGACTGCTTCGTATTTCCGCGCAAGCGCACTTTTCAGTCTTCACGTTCACGCACCATCGATGTGTCAGGTGTCAACTGTGACTGTGTGACTGTGAAATGAAATGTGTGAAACTGTGAAACCGCCTCGTTCATCTTCTTTTCCTAGTTGTCGTCAAATTCATCAAGGTACTCGTGCTGATCCGCACATTTCCTAAAACACTATTCTTCTTCTTCTTCTTCTTCCTTTCGATTTGTATGGCCTTAGCTACTTGGGCTATCTGGCCATATATTCTTCTTCTCTTCTTCTTCCTTTCGATTTGTATGGCCTTAGCTACCTGGGCTATCTGGCCATACTCTTCTTCTCTATAATGATGGTATTTTTCTTCTACTTCTACGTTTCTTGGTCTCTCATCCTAAAACCAATGAACTCAAGTTTACATACAGTTCATTGCCTAAAACCTATGCTAAAACCCAACCACTAACCCAACTTAAAACTTATTATTAATATTAATATTGTTTTAAAAATAATGAATATAAAAAGTTGATATGCAACATTGCTAAAGTATTTTTTTTTGTAATCTTTCTTTCTTAATTTTTAATCATTCAAAGATTTCTTAAACTTGAATCTGCTTACCAAGATGAGGGAAGACTTTATGCCTAGGAGCTATCAAATGGAATTGATGAAGATGGGGATTGAAACAAATACAATATTGTTTTTGCCGAAAGGTGCCGGAAAAACGTTCATAGCTCTCTTAGTTCTTAAGCAAATGAGTGGAGATCTCAAAAGGTAGGGAATTAACTGCTCATAACACTCTTGGCTCATAAGAGTTTCCTTTCAGGTCTTACAGTGAAGGAGGAAAAATCAGTATAATCATTGTGACCACTTTAGCATTAGTTAATAAACATGCCAAATACATTCTGGATCACACCACCCTAAAAGTTAGTGGTTATACTGAAGAAATTGATTCAAATTGCTGGCCAAAAGATAAATGGAAAAGAGAATTTGATTTGTTTCAAGTTTTTGTTATGACCAGCCAAGTTCTGCTTGATTTGACTCATCAGAATATCATTGGTAAGTAGAGTGTTCATTTCATACTTTTTCTTTTGTACCATACTACCAGGTTGTGCCATTGAGAGTGCCATTGCCAGTAAAACCAGTACTTTCATATCCCATTTCTGCTGTTGTGTATATAGTGTAAACTTTTGTTGTTGGTATATAGTTTTTTCTCATAGATTTGAAGAAAGTAAACCTAATAGTGTTTGACAAATGCCACCAAATTGTTAATGATCAGCATATGAAGGAACTGATGAAATATTATGGTGATATTGATGGGGAAAAACCCAGAGTGTTGGGACTAACAGCTCCCTTACTGAATGGTAAAGTGAAACCCCACATGGTGATGGATAATATTTCATTCTTAGAAACAACATTCCATAGCAAAGTGGCTACAGTGAATGATCTAGCAACAGTAGTTAGGTGAGTTTTTCACATACTAATAAGCACTATCATAATGTCATGATTGATGCCAATATGAGAGGGAGAGAGAGATAAATATACAAAATAAAGTCTATATAACTTATAAAAAATGTGAAAAGATTCAAAATCATAACACAAATATAAAGAAACACACAATTTGAAACAAGTTCACAGCTCATGTATTAAATAAAATATTGCAATCTAAACAGAATTTAACATGCAGATTTGCAAAGTTTGTTGAAAAAACAAATTGTTTCATAATCATTCCCAAAATGTAAGAACACAAATATACAGAAGCACAGGATTTGAACATAAATTCACAAAGTCATTGAATTAAAACATATTTTACAGTTCAAAATCAGACTCCACATATGGATGTAAATTAAAAACAATGTGAAACTTTTGATCACCACAGAGTTTCATTGTAATATTCCTCAAGGTTGTAGTATGCTTTTGTTGAAAGGGCTTTCTTAAGATTTCTGAACTTTTTATAGCTTTTCTCCTTCCTGATTTTGTAGGGTATGTGGTTAAACAGCATAATTATTCATTGAAAATGCAATATCACCAACAGTGCTAGTCTGTTTTGAAGTTTCTTGTAAGATTTGTGTTGTGTACATTTAGAAATGACCATGATATTTATTCACTAAGGAGGAAGATGAGCCACATTTCACTGCAAATAAATATTGTAGATGAGGGAATTATTGTTCAGTAAATTTCTGTTAGACTTTGAACTGTTATCTTCATTATTCATATTCCTTTCAAGGTATTCAACAAATCCTAAAGAAGAATTGAAAACCTGCATGGATTACCATCTCAGTTATACAGAAGTAATTGTAATAAAGCAACTGACAGAAGCCTTGACTTACATTGAATCATTGAAATTGAATAGTACCACTAATGTGTCAAATTTGGAACATGTTCAAATGGTCAAGACAGATGTTACCTTAAAGAAATTGTCCAATGCTATCATTGATGTGAATTCACACATCAAAAGTATGGGAACTTATGGAGGGTTGAAGGCAATACTAGCACACACAATTCAAATTGAAAGATTGAAGCTCAGCTGTTCAGATTCTAACAGCTTGGCTTTGAATTACATACAATGCATTCTCTCCTTTGTCAAAGAACTTTTAATCAATAGTATGAAATTGTACAAGGAACAAGTTCAGATATTCAGTTATTCCTCTGACAAAGTACTTGTACTCTTGAGTACATTAAAGGAGTATGAATCTAAGGAAGACATTTGTTGTTTAATATTCACAAAGAGACAATTCACAGCTAAGGTGGTATTTTATGTTCTGGATGCTCTTAGTAAATGTGATCCTGATTTTAGTCATATTAAAGCCAATTTTATGGTGAGTCATATTTTCATTTGTTTCCATTAGTTTGCCATATCTTTAAGTAAGAATTTGTCATGTGCCAACTCAACTCTGGGAGAATCATGAATGAGTGGATGATTGAATGAAACATTAAGCGCTTTGCTGTGAGTATTCCTAATGGAAAATATTTCCTAGAGGGAGTTTTGGGAATCTCCTGCAAACTTTGAGTTTCCCATACCAATCAAAACTAGCTTCATAGTTGTAATCAGTAATATAAAATTATTGTTCTTGTTTATCAAGTGACAATGGTCTTTAGAGTTGTATTGCATGCATTTTTTGATTCTTGCACTCTACCAGTAGCTCCAATGATGACTAAATATCTTGCTGAATATTTATATTGCAAAATCCTATTTGTTTTTATGATGACATACACAGTCTTTATACCTATAGGTGGGCCATGATGGTGATAATTGTAATGATACCAGAGAAAATCTTTTCATCTCAAAAAAAAACAAAGAAATTTTGGATAGTTTTATCAATAAGGAAATAAATGTTCTTGTGGCATCTAACATTCTGGAAGAAGGAATTGATATACCCAGATGCACTTTAGTCATTAAGTATGATAAACCAGAAGATTACAGGGAATATATACAGTCAAAGGGCAGAGCTAGACATACTGATAGTCTTTTCAATGTTATTGTTGAAAAAAATGAAATGGAGAAATATGAGGCAATGTACAAAGATTTTCAACTGGTGGAGAGAACCCTTAATAACGTGAGTATATTATCGTTGGAGGCTTGCCTAGTTATATAGGCGTGATTGTGGGTTCAAATTCCAATTATTTATCTTCAAGACTGACGGGGAAAAAAGGGTTATACCATAATCCTGGTTAATCCAGTAATACTCAGTGTCCAACTTAAAATATAGAAGTTGATTTGAGCTCCTGGAAAACGGATATTGTGGTAAAAATGGCTTTGTTATTTTCAAGTTGAACATATCTTATGCATTGTGTGTAAATTTGTATTTCATCGTCTGTTTCAGCGAGAGTAGAGTAGCACTTGAGCTCTCTAGTGATCAACGGACATTGAATTAAATTCACTGTCTTTTCAGAAATTTCTGGTGGAGTACCATTTGATATTTATTCGTCGGGAAGGCATCCACAATTTCGCTAAATAAATTCAATAATTTCATATTTACTGTATATCTATGATGGTTGTGCATAAAATGTTAATTGTATATGCATTTTGGGTGTTTATGGATCTAGGTGTGTTAATATTCCCAAGATATACCTCATACTTTGATATTATTACCTATGAACGCCTATTTTACTCCCTTGATACATAAATAACGATTGTTATGGACCTATAAATCATAAAAAATATAATGTGCCGTTGGCGGACTTGGATATGGATTCCATCTCAATATTTGCAAAAGCAAAATACAGAGAGGATATGATTTTCCAACAACACTCAACTACAAACCAGAAATCGGTAAAACATATTTCTATAAGTTTTACTGACAGTATATTTCAGAGAAAACTAACCATAAACCATATAACCATAAAGCTGATTTCTTTCTTAGGGCTGACTTCAAGATTTCATTACAAATATATTTATTCATAGTATTTTATTGATGAAAATATAATTCATAATCGCATCGAATACAATTCGAACTTCAAACTATTCTAGCTTATTCATCCTAAACTTCCTGCATAATTGAAAATCGTGTCAGTTTAACAGAATAATCATCCCTCTTCGCGGTCAGATTTTTTCAACTGTCGAACTGACACTCTTTGTAATTATGCAACAAGTTATCGATGTATAACCCTAATATTTAGAAGTACTCTTAGTATTACTACTGAATATTTTCAGTACCTGACGGGCAAAAATGACGAGGGGCGCTCGCAACTACCTCGGCACCTGTTGCTAGAAGAGGCCGCTGTTACCCCTTATTATACGGCCGGGCCCGGCTCGGCTCGAGTGGACCTCACCTCGGCCATCCCTTTGCTGGGCCGATACTGTCACAACCTGCCCTCGGATCCGCATACCGCCCACGATGTGCGGTGGCACGTGATGGAGAAACGGGGCGATATCTCGGAGTACAGGGCGGTCGTTGTGCTGCCCACCGCATGTCCGCTCACAGAGGTCGTAGAGGTCAGCTATCGTTGCAATGATAATTGTTACATTTGGAATGTGCTGCGGCAAAAATAGTAGATTTCTCATTCGGAAATTAGGACGTAAGGTGTCATTTTTTGTAGAGATCGGCGATAAATGATATTTAGTTCCATTTGAAACTCTGAATTTGGAGTAGCTAGGAATTGAGGTAAATGACTTGTGAATCTGCTCCCCACAAGTACAGAAATTGACGGTTTCCGGTGATTTCTGAAAGAAATATTGTTCTTCATATTCTAGTTTGAAAGACCCCTTATATAGTGTGACGCAAAAGTAAAACCCATTCAGTCACCTAATAATATCTTCACTTACTCATCTTTTAAAGGTAATTACATAAATATTATCATAATTTAGGGTCCCTTTATGAAAACGGTAAAACAGGCCAAAAAGGCGGCTGCCTTGAAAGCGTGCGTGAAACTTCACGAAATTGGAGAATTAGACGAGCAGCTGTTGCCTAAGAAACATGAATTCAAAGTGGAAGATGTCAGTTTCCTGTTTGAACACTATCCTACCTCCGAAGAAATATCTGATGACGACCTGAAAACCAAAAGGTTGCACCAAAAGCAGGTAGGCAAAAATTGATAATAACTGATATTATCAATATTTATCTATCCTTCAGAAGCTCAATGCACATGAACTAACATTTCCTCATATGATTATCCAGCATTGAGGACCTATTCCATATGATATTCATTATTCAACTTCATATTTATTTGCTCTGAATTTCTCAATATTTACTCACTTACTACTGAATGAAATCGAATTATGTATTCGAAGTAGTGAAACATACACCCTGAATCTCATATTCAGTTCCGCTGTCAGCCACTGCGGTGCTGCTGTAATTTACGCGCTCTTTGTCACTTGCAGGTGGCGAGCTGTCTGCGCGGCCAAATAGAACCGGAATCCTCCCACTTCCTGCACGTGATCGAGCTCTGTCCACAATTCCTACGGCACGACGAGGACGTGAACAGCAGCACGATGTATGACGCGTACACTTCGCCCTTGTGTTTCGGCATCGTGACTCGCTCATCTTTGCCCGCCATCTGCGATTTTCCCGTTTACGTCACGATGGGCGCCATCGATGTCAGGTGCAAGATGAACCGGAAGAAAGTGACGTTCACGCCGGATGAAATAAGTCTGATCAGGACTTTCCACTTTCGGGTGTTTGACGAGGTTATTTGATTTTTCATCTTCATTTATTGGACAGCGTCTTCTGGCGAACGAGACAATAACCCTATTATTACGAACTACTATTTCAAAATATTGGCTTCATACGGTTCATATGATTTCGGTATTTTATTGATGATGTTGTCAATAGGCACATTTATTGAGATCAGTCCATTGTGCATTTTATTGGCACCCGCGAGAAGATGAGGGAATCACCAATCCAAATTGCTCGCGCACTGACGTCACACGTTTCGCGGCCATGTAAGGTATTTCAGACCCATATATCTCAAGATATATTTTTTCTAGAAATTAATTGAACATAGATCAAGCAAGTTACACTCAAAAATGTATCACCTTGACCGATGAAAGTGTAACCCGAAAAAAAAATCTTAGCAATCCGAGGTAATTTATAATATTTTCTGTATTACGCAATGATAACAGGACTATAGGTATCAATTTTAATTTGATTTGAGGTCCTGGCAGTACTTCAGCCTTTTTTGATGATTGACAATGAGGAAGATGCTGAAATGCTTATGCTCGTGCCCATGGACAAGGCGACTTTGAATATCGATTTCGAACTTATCTCTGAAAAAAGTGAGGTCAAGAGGTGGACGGAACCAAGCAAGGAAGAGAAAATGGCGTTAGAAGTGACGCAAGAGACATATCTGAGGAAGATTGTCGTGCCTTGGTAATTAGTTAATTTATTTCAGTGTTTCAATCGTTGATTTCCAATATGATACATCATCGTCATGTGAGTTTTCGTTTGCCGACCGGTCGCAACCACTTAAATCACATTTCGACCACAGGGTTTTTTATTGATGACCGCATTGACCGAACCTCAAATGGTAACCCTTTTTTATTGAAAACGTAAGGCCGACCGATTCAAGACCACGGCCCGGACTTTTTGATGGTCGATGCGGTTCAAGGATATAACGTCGTATAACCCCAAAACAATCAAATTAGCAAATTACTCAGAAAATTGGAAAGGGCATCTATAGTCTTCAAATTTCAGTGACTCAAACTGCTTATATTTCAACAAAAAAAAATCATTACATCACTGGATGATTCACTTGAGTGTATTATTTTTTATATATACAGTTCGAAATTATGATTATTATTTCATCCAACAAAATCTGTCTCCAGGAATTCAATACTACTGATATAGATGATTCCTAACCTGATATAATATCTGGTTTTCGAGATCTGAGGTAATGTGTTTTGGTATATTATCGATATGACGTTTACAATTTTTAAGGTTTTTGTACACTTCAAAACCCTTCGTATTTGTCAAGCCGGTCGACAACCAAAAACTCTACTGTCAAAATTCACATAAAATTTAAATGAAATACTCAACAAATAAATGACACCTTTGATATTTTATCTACTCTCTGTCCGTCTTTGCAAATATTAGGATATTTTACAAGAAAGATAAATCAACATTAGGTACCGCACCGACTCCCCCATATACGTGGTGACGGAGGTGTCTTTGAATCGGAGCGCCCGTTCTCAGTTTCCCAACCACGACTACGGCGACTTCAAGTCGTATTTCGAAGAAAAACATTACATCCGGATCGTCAACCCCGATTTGCCGCAATTGCTCGTCAAAGCGTTGACGAGGCGATTGAACTTCGTCAAGCCGATCGACGCCACCTCCAAAAAGAGGCGCGACAAAATGTACGAGGAGAGCATCGAATATCTGCTGCCCGAATTGGTGGTCAAACAGGAATTTCCCGCCCCCTTGTGGATACAAGCCAGCCTATTGCCCACCATCCTGACCAGGATCACCAGCTTATTGGTCATCGAGGATCTCAGGTTAGCATTCCCTACTAATATAGGTCATGTTCCGATATTGCCGACATTACTGGCCACGGTAAGCAATTCAGGAACACTAAACAGTAACCTTAGCTTTGAATGTCATTTCATTTTGGAACGATTTTGGCAGTACTGGTACACTAGCAGCAAAACATAATCACAACCTTTAATCTTTCGATTTACCATGTTTTGTTTTGTTGGTTTTTATTTTCATCCTTCTTATTATTATCATAGAAGACATATTATCCGGCAGTGACTCAGATCTTCCAGTTCGACTTCATACATTTTTCCAAAGTATTTGAAAATATTTATAAGTGGTCAATGGCCTTTTGGGGTATATTCCTAATAAAGATTTTCTCTCTCTCCCTCTCTCTCTCTTTAATAATAAGTGTATCATTTTTATCGACTCATACCTAACCATTCAAATACTTAACCCAACATTTCATGAATACTGGCACTGCATCATCATTTCTGCACTAGTGGCCAACAGTGAACTTTTAGCCTCTAACTGGGTTCCTTGCAATGACCCGCGAAAATGTCTGTAAATTTCAGTAAAATCGGAACGATAAAATATACTGGGCAGTACTGTTCGGGAATATCGGAATATGCTCATTATAAATGTGAATGTAATTTTATTGTTTGTCGGGCTTTTACGCCAAAACTACTCAACCGATTATCGTGAAATTTTGTATAAATATTCTTAGATATATTAGAAAGGATACGTTTTATTTAAAAAAAAAGAAAAATGTTTACGACGGATAAAAAAAATATCCAACAATCAGACATGAAACTCTATACGTCGGTACCTTAGATATTCATTATTAGAATACTTCATTTGGGACTGGTAAGTCTCGGATTATTTAGATGATGAAATTAAAATGACAAATAGCTAACCAAACATCAGATGGGCATTACGAAATCACAAATTTATCACTACATGGGAGATACCCCTCACACTTTTAGCTATTCAGAGACTTGACCACGAATGACATTTACGTTTTAGTCTTCTGCGACTTTGAGCACGATTCAATAGCACCTGAACTGGTCCATCTACAGACAGGGCGCATCAAATAAATTATTCTTGTTGTGGTTGTGCCCCCATTAAGGGGGCCGTAGCTCCCTTAGGAGCAATTTTTCGACTCATTTTCATAAGAAGGAGTCGCTGGCTGACAGGCTAATTTCGGGATACCCTGTATATGCATATTTCTCTGTTCGTGTCCCCGCAGGTGCAAAATGGCAGAGGAGATGCACATCGGCGAAAAATTCCCCTCTGCCCGTCAGCCCTTACGCTTGGACGAAACTCTCCTCAACTATCAACCGTACGCGGAGGAGGAGCATCAGTCAGAAGATCCGCCCTCTGACTCCAACACCTCTCCGAGTGGTGGCTCGGAGGGCGGCAATCTGCTCTCGGGGCGGCCTCTGCGCCCCAACAAGGACTTCGATAAGAAGCTGCTGGAGGCACAGTACCCGTGGAGGGACGAGGACGAGCCCAAAGACATCGAGAGAGAACTGACGGCTACCGTGATGGACGTCGCCCATTACGAGGCATTCATGACGCACCCTGTATCCCGAAACCAACGTAATTATTATCATTGACACTGACACTTTCGAGTTTGTTCATATTGTTTCCATGGTATTGTTTCTGAGAAATCTTGAAATTGGGGTGCAAGAGTGGCGGTGACTACTACATATTTTTATGTGACATGAAAAAAGTTTCGTCATTTTATCTCTGTTGACAGGTTACAAAATGTCACTTTTCATAAATAACTATTTTCACACGGGAAAGAAGTTCGTCAAAGAAGACCGGGGACGAATAGACTTACTGGATGGTAATAGTAAGATAAGAGTCCGGACACAGAAATGACAACTGTTAGTGTTTTTGAATGTTTATATTTATTGAGTCACACACCTTGCATTGTGACAAGAGCACCATAGTCGTCTCGCGATTTTTCATTCAAAATTGTCTGAATTTGACAATACATTTCATGCAAAAATCTAATACTTTTTCCCTTGTACAATAAATAACTATTAATCCCTCGTAATTATTCCCGCAGGAATTATTTTGTACAGCAACATTTTTTAATAATTGAAAACTGTAACGACCGAAGTAATCTTCTGGAGCCCGGCATCATCTGAATAATTATTATCATCAGTGAAATATCACTATTTCTGTCATTCTCATCATTATAAGTTATTTTTATTATTTTTTCTATTATCATTATTACTATCATTGTTATCGTTATTATGATCATATTATATTCACACGCTGTATATTAGTATTGGAGCGGTTTCTTGGCCAGAAATCGTTACTGACTCATATGTTCTTAGGTAATAACTTGTCATAGAGATAGGATGAATAATGTGAGGCAGTTCTGACTGATTCGTGCTATCGAACGGTTGTCGAATAAAGTGATTGTAGTAGTTGTTCGTGTTCTTTCAAATAATAGAGTCAAATACTTCTCAGTCATAACAAAACCCAGTATGATTTCACTTGTTCAATCCAAGTATATAATTTTATAAGAGAATATTATTCTTGAAAATGAATGATTTTTGATTAAATGAATGCAGGTAACAGAAACGAATTCCCAACTTACAAATTCAGAAAACGCCTGGCGCTGACCTACCCGCGTCACTACTCACCGTGTCAGTTGCGACTGTTCGAAAAAAACGTCTCCAATGGCGGGCCCGAATTGTGCGACTTATACAAGGCGTTGACGGCCGCCCAGGCAGAGGAAATCGTCAGTCTGGAGCGGCTCCAAATGCTCGGCAATTCCTTCTTGAAATACGTTGCCACCCTGTACATTTTCCTGAGGTTCCCCGTCTACGATGAGAGCCGAATCAACTGTCTCAAGGATCGGCTCGTCGGCAGCAGAAACCTATACTATTTGGCAGTGAAGAAAAATCTTGATGGTAAGTATACGTATTGTTAGCGACGAAGTTCAATTTTTCTGTTCGCCTATAAATCCCAAAAAATTCATAGACACTAATTCAAACCCATAAAGAAAGAATTTGATGTCAGATTTGAAAGAAACTTTCCTCTTTCGATTTTCAAAATCAGTGGTTGACGCAATGCAGTAGGCTTATACACTATACAGGTCAAAAAATATGTTTTTCTTGGTTGCCTTAAAAATCTCGAAGAATTCATAGACCCCAATTCAAACAAGCTGGCGATTCATCGGTTTTCATCATCAGGTCATCAGAATGCGGTTTAGTTGAAGATAGGAGCGGACTTTATTTGCATCAGAATGTGTAATTCATCGATATATATTTCATAAACGGTCATCGTTGTACACATAATTATCCCGCATAAATGTTTTTAATTGTGGAAAACGTGTCTATCTAAGATTCCTAGAGTTAGAATCTAACAGTATTTTGTTTCAATCAATACAATACTACAATTTATTCATGATGAAAGGAAACTATGGCATATTCACTTGACTCTTGGCCTGATCTACAATCACTTTGAACCTCACATGTGTTTTGACTTCCTGTTACGTTTTTTTAATGCATTCCAAAGTGGGAAAACTGGAGTTTCATTATTCGTAGGTGCGCAATTTTTATACCTTCTAACTGCCGAATCAGACATTGTGAAATATGAAAAATTGAACTGTCGAATTGGATAGTCGAATTCCTGATGAAATTATGATTGCTGGACCTCGCATACAAACACTGTTTTTTCAAAGTCGGCATGGAAGGCTGATTTCCTTGCAGGCGTTCTCCAGTTCAAAGATCTGTCTGCAAGAGACGAATAGCTGCCGCCCGGCTTCGCAGATGGATAGCTACATATGTATTGGTTCTTTCTTTCATTTGAATTCAGACCAGGGAAGAGTGCCTCTTATCCTTCTACATATCATGAAACAAAAAAAAAAGAGAAATAAAAACGGTATCGACGTTTGTTAAGACCATAGTAACTCATGACAATCCAGGATTATTTTGGTTCTGGGAGACGTCCGCTCTTTTCAGACTGCAACCATTGTGTTTTTGCAGGATTCAATTCGATCTTCCATCTAAGGAAGTACTGCTTAAGAGAATTCAGTAAACTTAGAAGGTTCATAGCTGCTTGCTCAAAATGTGTTGAATATGCAAGAAATGTATCATCAGCAAAAAGTGACATCTTGCACATGCACTGGCCTTGGCAAATGACCAGTATACAGACTGTACAACAACGGCGATAAAACTGCACACTAAGGACTTGATATCAGATCGTTTTTCCTTCCAGGCGTCCTCCAGTTCAAAGATCTGTCTGCGAGAGACGAATGGCTGCCGCCCGGTTTCGCCGTACCGTCAGCCATGCGCACGCGCATCGACAGCAAAGAGCTGTCCATCAACGCCCTCTTTGGCCTCAGCATCCCCCCCGAAGAGCAGATCTCCGGCGAGCCCTCAGAAGACACGGACAGCTACATGCGCAGCGACGAGTACGATCCGGAGGAGAAGGAGGAGTGCTATCACAGCATGGGGGCGTTTTTGCGCAGCCAGTACGTCAGCGATAAGCACGTGGCCGATGTGGTGGAATCGATGATGGGTGCTTTCGTAGATAGTTGCGGAGTAGAAGGTGAGAAACTATCTCAAATGAAGGGTGGAGGGAAAGAAGAAGGAATGTCATATTTTTACAATGAAACACATTGCTTTACGAAGACAGACTTCTTCTTGATATTCTCTACCCATGAGTCTGCTAAAAATTCGTATAGCCTATTTGTAAACAAATTTCATAGAACTAGGAGAGTCTATGTCAGAAGGTACATACAACCAGAATTCTCCTCAATTTCAATCAGTCTTTGCTATCTATTAATCAGTCACGTCCGCATCAGGAGTAAACAAGAGTTTTTCGTCTTCAAAATCAACATAATTCATCAATATAGCACCTGTTGTCTATGTCATGTCTTCTGACAGTGAATTCAATTTCAATCCTAAGCAATTATTGTTTACTCATTCTGAAATTTCATTCTACATTTATTGACAGTTCAAGCAGAAAAAATACAAACATTTTATGACTAAAGAGATTTTGTAGACCTGAAGCATAGATCTACTTCACAGAATTACGTCATCAATGATAACTTTGAGTAACTCGTTATTTCCCTTCAGAATGTGTGACATTCCTTGTTTTTTTTCAAGGTTTCGAGGTTTTCGTCAGCCTAGTTCTAGTTGTGTGAAACTGGCTTAGCCAATGCTTTGTATTTCTGAGAACCTATGACAACTTCACTGTCAACATTTGGTAAACAATCATTTCCGATAGCCCGTTTTACGCAAACAGGATGACTTTAATTTCTCTGTCCAATATACTTGTACGCTTTGTTTATAAGACTGTACATCCTATCTTATCAGATACGAAAACTCAAGTCATGGTGAAGCTGGGACATGATAGAGCAGTTCAGCTACCGTTGAGAGAGAAAAAAATGTCTTCCCCATCTGTCGTTGTCTTCAGTGTTCCAACGTAAAATAATGGAAATTTAATGGTGGAAACATTGGAAACGAAAAAAAAAATGGATGAGAAGATCATATCAACCTCAATATAAAAAAGGTTAGAATGGTCTTCTTCTCCATTTCTCATCATTTTCAGTGTTGCCAACATAAAAATGTCATTATGTTGAGACATTTTTTTCTCTCTCAACGCTAGCTGATCTGCTCTATTCCTATTCCACTGTGAAACTCAACATGCAACTTTTACATCAACGAAGATATTCTAATTTAGAGGTTTATTGAAAAAATAGCCCTCATTGAATTGCATTGATCATGAAAAAGCTCGTTCCCACAATTGCTGATTGGCATTGAATCAAAACGGACTTTCTGAATTCTAGTGTAGATTTTTCAATTTCGTTTAATACTCAATTAACCCTCCCCAGGCGGCATGAAATTCATCGAATGGGTGGGTATAATACCACCTTCCGAGAATCTAGAAAAATTGCTGAAACAGACTCCGCCCGATCCCGTCTTGAACAAGTCCGCCAGTCCGAGTGACATTGAACGCTACATACCCAACTGGCGAGAATTGGAGGCAATTTTAGGTAAGGTGCTCAGCACACACCCTGTATAGGAAAACAAATCAATACTCCTTGGCTGCGTTCATAAACTTACTCCTGTGAGTAGAGTAATAGCATTGAGTATTCACCAGTGTATACAATCAAGGGTAATAGTATGGTCACCTGACCAGAAATATATCGTTGAAGGTTACTCAAAAGTAGCCGTTCAAAAACTCTTATGTGATGGTATGCAAGATAACAAATGTCAAGTGTTATAAAACTCGCAGGTTTTTAGGTATCGTTTCATGAGGATAATTATATATATCATCATGATAGGGAATACCAGATATGCCACAAACAGTATCCCTGCCAGTTTATACTTCACCAAAGACTAGGTTAAGCGGGAATAGGCCTTTTCATATAGATATATTTTTAAGACGCATGCGCTCGTTTTTAGATCCAAAATTTGATTGGGTAATGCGGAGGTGACGTCTCATTGGCTATAGTTCCGACACAAAATTCTGATGGGGCTTTTATTGAGGTTTTCTCAAATGTCAACAGTGTCAACCACCATGGGCATTCATCATTGAGAAACAACAATAATACAATATAGTATTTTCGTTTGTATATTCCTGGTGAGTATTAATTGTATTCGTTACTGAGGAGTGTGGTGCAAGTGTTTCGGTGAAAATGGCCGCCACTGTCGTTGGATGCGAGATGTAAACACAGATAGTCATTTGTCATCTTAATGAAAAGGCCTATTGAGGTGAGTTGCCAATGCAGTGTTTTTGTTTTATGCGTCGCGCGTCATGCAACCTGATTGGTGATGCTGCATTTGAAATATATTTGACGCGATGAAGTAAATATTTTAACTTTCTGGCGTTGCGGCTTTGAGGTTATGTTCCAGAAACCTTAATATTTCATTAACCCTTAGTTCTGAGAGTAATCTCATGGTTAGTAAACGATTGCAGTATCACTGAAGTATACCTACCTAATTATCCCATTTTCACTGTGCTATTTTCGTTTTTTGATTAGCTCTGTATATCTTGCAAGCATTATCCTATATTTTCAGTATTCTCAGATATGCTCATGATTTTTCAATGCAAACTTCAACCAAATCGACAATGATAGGTAATTTCATTGGAAACTGAAAAAAATAATAAGAAACAGTGCAGCAATTTTCAATTACGCGTCACCAATCAGACTGCGTGACGCGAGAAGCAAAAAAGCTGCATTGGGAACTCACCTTTACTCTAGTAAGAATCTGAATGATTGTGTATGCATACTCTAAACTGTTAGAGTGAGTTTATGAACGCTTTGGAGTAAGCCAACCTTACTCAAAGAGGCTCAAAGTAAGTTTATGAACGCACCCCTTTCTGGAATCGTAGGATACGAATTCAAGAATCCCGCCTACCTGCTGCAGGCGCTCACTCACGCGTCCTTCGCCTCCAACCGAACAACCGCCTCCTACGACAAACTCGCGCCGGTCGGCAACGCCGTCTTGGATCTGCTCCTGACCTGTCACGTGTTCGAGACCTGCGTCGGCCTGGATCCCGGCCAAGTGGCCGATCTGCGATCCGCCCTCGTCAACAACAGCACTTTTGCCGGTCTGTTGGTGCGCAACGACGGCCACAAATTCCTGTTGATGGCCAACAGCCATCTGCAAGGGCTCATCGACAAATTCGTGCGACTGATGGAGCACAAGAATTTCGAGGTCGACGACGAGGTGCTGATTCTGCTGGAAGAGGACGACAACAATTCGGCCGAGGCCGTTGATGTACCAAAGGTTGGTCCTGACAAGAACAAAATGTTGATAAAAAAATTGTGGTTATGATCGACCTTGTCCGGCCCTAACCATTTGAGAAATTGAATAAATCCAATCATAGGCATTTTATTCAAAATCCGAAATATCATTTCTGTGAAATACCTGAAGTGTATCTACTTTTGCCTCAAATTTACAATATTTAATTTCTATTTGGAGGATCACAAATATTTGACGCTTCAAACCACTAATGAAATTACAAAACAAATCAACTGAGAGCATTTTTCATCTAAATATTTTATATGTGTTCATGTATTCCTATTAGTTTTTGCATCTTTTTCTAGATTCTGGGTGATGTTTTTGAAGCAATTGCTGGAGCAGTTTATTTTGACAGTAACAATGATATGAAAACGATTTGGGATGTATTCTATAAGATAATGTGGAAGGAAATAGATCTCTTCAGTTACAATGTACCAAAGAATATTGTAAGGAGACTTCTTGAGTGGCCTGGAGTGCATCCTAAATTCGGGTAAGGCTTTTATTGTGATAATCAACAGAATATCATGTCATTATCATCATTATTCCTAACAGAGGGTTTATCATTTTGGACACTATAGGGACTATAAAATTTTTAATCACAAATTTTATCACAGCAGATATGAGCAGTCCATTTATATAATCGAAAAATTGAAGGATAAATATTTTTCAGATCTCTACAACCCATCTCGACCAAAAAGTTCATGATACCGCTGTCTTTTTTGGTCAACGGTGCTCCGAAAGTAGTCCACGGATTTGGTAATAATAAAATACAAGCTAGGAAAGCTGCTGCGAAATTGGCCTTACGTTATTTAGATTTGGATATGTCTAAACGTTGAACTATATTGTTTACCTTCAAGTTTCAGAAAATTATTCCCGTTTTTGTGGTTCCTGCATTATGTAGAATTCCGTTTTTTTTTTCTTTTTGTTGAATTTGTTTTAAATACTTATTTTCCTTGAGGTTCTTCAAAATTTATAAGCATTCAACATGATATCAACTGCAATTTGAATACAGCATGATTTAGATTCATTTTCTTCCAATATTCTTATACTACAGTGTTGTCCAAGAAATTGAACACTTCAACTATACTGATATTTTCCAAAGTGTAGCTTGGAATATGTGATACTGAGTGTTTGTGCAGTACATTGAATGTACAATTATTATTACTGAAATTTTATTATATCAGTATTTTTACCGTTTTGAAATATATGATAAGTTTGTTATTATTAAAGTTTTAAGATTTTCCATTTACACCAAACATGCCTATATGGAGTTATTTTAGAAAACGAGTTCTGGTTAAATGTCTTCTCTAACAGTGTTATTGTAATGGAAACGATTTGTCTTCATGTTGTCATATTTTTGCATCTGAATAGTCTTTCAAAATCTACTAAAACTTGGAGAAATTACAATTCAAATATATTGTGTGCCTTTTCTCTCAAAGTGATTGAAGTGAACAAGAGATTGTTGGTGCCATTTGTATCGACCCTCTATAAATGTAAACTGATGGGATAACTAGATTATTCTTTGATGTCAAAGAAATTATCAAAGTGACATCAAATCCCATTCTATCTTTGAATATCTTTGGACGACTGTTTTCTGCAAAACTGTCAGTAACAGATACATTTTACAACTAACACAACATTGAGAAATGCCCAATCAAGCCCTTCAATAAAAAATGACTGATTACTATAAGATTCTAAAAGTACCTAAAACGGCAACGAGCGATGAAATTAAGAAGGCTTATCGCAAGCTGGCTCTAAAATGGCATCCAGATAAAAATCCCAATGATACAGAAGAGGCCAACCGAAAATTCCGAGAAATCTCGGAAGCGTACGAAGTGTTGTCAGATATGAAGAAAAGAAAAATGTATGACACTGGAAAATATAGCGATGTAGGGAGACATCATACGGGCCAAGATGAAGACTACTTCAATTTTGGAGGATTCACCTTCACTTTCCGCGATCCTGAAGATGTATTCAGAGAATTTTTTGGTGGCAGTATCTTTGATTTCTTTTCTGAACAGCAGAGTTCGAGCGCAAGAAAAGGCAGACACTCCAATCAGGAAACTTCCCTGTTCAACCCTTTGGGATCATTTTTTGATGACAGTTTTTCGTTGAGAACGCCTGGTCAGTATACTTCCTTTTCCAGCGTTGAAAGTTGTTTCAGCAGCGGATCTCCCAATGGCACTCACGTTAAAAAGACTTCCACCTCGACAAAAATTGTTAATGGTAAGAAAGTTACTACCAAGAAAATTTTTGAAAATGGAAGGGAAGTCATTATGAAATATGAAGATGATGTGATGACTTCTAAGACAATCAACGGTATTCCTCAGAGCATTACATATCAGTAGAATTTATGACAGTTTTGTAAAACCATTTGTGATAGAAAATATATTCTGGATCTCCAGGTTCCTTTATTCCTTGCTTCATATATCAATGGAAATCTATAAAATCTTATTCAAAAACTACATCTCAGTAAACACCTATTTATACAGGGTGTCCGCTAAAAGGAGGTCAATCCATTAAACATATATGCCTTGAACAAAAACGATATGAGTTTCTGAATACCATTTTTCATTTTAGCCCTTCATATTCGATATACAGGGTGTCAAAGTTGGAAATTGAAAACTGTTTTATTTCAATTATTCGCGTATTTAATGAGATATTAATCTTAAAATTGGTACATTACTTCAGCACAAACAGTAACATGGTGCGAGGAAAACAAAACAGAAAATAACTGTCAAATATTCAAAATACTCGGGGTCAAGTACACACTTACCCCCATAGTTTTTTTGTACGTGCGCTTATGACTTTCTATTTATTTTTCTTCAAGTGTTCAATCATTTTTGAGTATTTTTTGTCTTTTGTAAAGTTTCGATAAACTTATTTGTTTTTGAGATAATTCGAAAAGTACTGGTTATTGTTTGATTCGAAATTTTACAAGTGACAAAAAATACTCAAAAATGATTAATCACTTGAAGGAAAATAGATAGGAAGTCATTAGCGCACGTACAAAAAAAATATGGGGGTAAGTGTTTACTTGACCCCTACTATTTTGAATATTTGACAGTTATGTTTTCTGTTTTGTTCTCCTCACATGATGTAACTCTTTGTGCTGAAGTAATGTACCAATTTTGAGAATAATATCTTATTAAATACGCGAGTAATTAAAAAAAAATAGTTTTTAATTTCCAACTTTGACACCCTGTATATGGAATATAAAGGGCTAAAATGAACAATGGTATTTAGAAACTCATATTGTTTTCGCATTCAAGGAACATATGGTTGATGGATTGACCTCCTTTTAGCGGACACCCTGTATAATAACATTTCAATAATTTAGATTACTTCTCAGAATGAAATCTTTTGACATGGAATTTGAAGCATGTTTCATGTTTGGAAATAGAACACAATGTGATTCTTGTAGTTCCTAGTTAGGAAATAATGAATATATTATTTTTATTGTTTTATATCTAATGCATCCTATACAAGTGAATATTCTTTTAGTCTAAGTTAACAGAATCAAGTTCTGATTGCTCAACATTCAGAACTATTCTTTCCTCATCATCTGAACTATTGTTTCTCTCTGTATTGTCCATTTGGACATCTTTTTCCTTAGATTTCTTTGAAAGTTTAGCCTTCTTCTTCCCTACAATATTCCTCTTTGCAGACAATTTGCCTTCATTAGTTGGGATACTGGTATCTAAGAGCAATTTTGAGGATAGTCTCTTTGATTTTCTAGTACTTGGAATCTCTAAATTTTCATTTTTGAGGTCACCCTCATTTTCTTTCATTTTTTCTTCACTGCTCTTCTGATCCTGGAATTCTCTATCTATACTAATATTTTTTGCATTTTGTTTTTCCATTGTCCCTTGATTCTCTGCCAATTCCCTATAATTTGTTTCTATATCCTCTGCTGATTTCTCCAAATTTGTTTCTTGATCTGCAGCAGACTTTTCAATGTGCATTTCTTGGTCAGTTGCTGGTACAGTTTCTTCATCAATTAATTGTTCATTTTGCTGAATAGAAGCTTGAATAGTAGAAGCCTTCTTTTGAACCACTCCCACTTTTTCTGCAGATGAATCTCCAGATGATATATTGGAATTATTTTCCATTTGAACCTCAATATTAGCTTCTGTATGATCATTATTTTGTGTTCTCACTTCTCCATTTACACTTTTACTGTCACAATTTTCATCATCTGTAGATCCGATTTCACCTTCAGATATATCAGATCCTTTGGATTTACTTTTCTTTCTGTATATTGGAGTTTTTCTGTCTTTAACTTTTTTTAAATCCTTGTCACCTACTGATATTGTTTCTTCTGGTTCAGGTAGAGGAATATCTGTAATATCAACTGCTTCAGGAATATCATCTGTAACATCAACTGGTTTTGACTGTATATTCAAACTTGTACAACTTTGCAGATCAGATCTATTATCCTTTGTGCTAAGTACCATAGAAACTGTCTGCATCTCATGGACTACACCTGGTGTTTCTATCTCTGTTACTGCATTATCTTGGACAATATCATCTGTTCTATTTTTTTCATTTTGGTTTCCTTTCTCTTGTTCACTTTTATCAATATTTTCATCTCTTGTACCACACCAAAAATCAACTGGTTCTTCCCTGTTTTCTACAATTTTGTGGTGTTGATCATCATCTGAATCACTGGATGAAATAATGATTTCATCATTTTTGGGACTTTCTACTATAACAGCATCATTGTCATTATCAGATTCATCTTTTCCTGCAATTTCATGTTTCTCTTTTTCTTGTTGTTTTTCCAAAACTAATTGAGATTTGATTGCTCTAGCTCTAGCTTGCAATTCTAGTAGTTCCAACACACTCATAAGATTCTCTTCAGATGTTTTATTTGAAGGAGCATTTTGGGCATTTTTAGAGAGTTTTTGTTTATCAGGTTTCTCTTTCTTCAACTTTTTCCTTTTGTGCTCTTCCTTTATTTTAGTTCTATGCTTCTTACACTGTTTTTTATGTTTTTCTTTATCTGAAAATATCTTATACAATGAAAACTGTTAAGTACAGATTTCATGGACACATATATTCTATAGCTACCTGAATCTAAATCTATTACAAGATCTCCATCACTTATATCATCCAATGATATCAAGTCAATAGGTTCATCTTCTGCTTCTGGGTCAGTGGAGCTGCTATCTTCATTAAGATTCTGTCCAGTAAATATGTACTTCAATCGTTTATCTGATATCCCAAGTAATTCCTCCAAGAGTCTTGAATTTATTTCTTCATTATCTAGGTCCTGAAATACAGAATCTATATATTATATTGAATGTGAAATGGTTCAAAATATGACACTAGTAATTTGTTTAACTCACTCTCATGCAATCAGGGGCCATACTACGGATTTTCTTGGGTTTGATAATCTTTAAAACTTCTTTCATTAGTTTTACCCGGTCTTTCATGTAGAATGATAATTCATGTTCACTTTCTTCACCTTCTGTTTCAGAATCGTTTTTGATGAGTTTGATAAGCTTCTTTTCTTTCTTATTATGTGGTCTCTTCTGTCTTCTGGGTCTTGATGATTGTAATGAAAGCATTTTATGGGTTAAATGTTAAATAAATGAAAATTCCTCGAAAATTCCATGAACCAATTTCAATTTGGCTTTTACAGACAAAACTAATTACTAAAAAAAATTGAATCTTCTTCTTCCCATCTTGAATGGCCTTAGCTGCCTGGGCTCAAGAACGATAGACCATTAGGGCTATCTGGCCAAGTACATGTGTTCCCCCTTCCCCTTCATAGTCCTTGCCTTCTTCTTCTTATTATTAGCCTCTTGTCTCGTGAGGACATCCAGCCATACAATTCTTACCTACATTCTTACTATCAAATTCTTAATTCTTGTCCTTTTCGTACGTGGTTATCTGCGTGCTACGTGGTAAAAGTCTACAATCTGGAAGTCCTACTCTGGATAAGAGGCCAAGAAATGTTGAAGAAGAAGAAAAAGAAGATGAACGTACTTTTTCCTGTCATATGTCATTGAATTATAATGGCGGGAGTTTCTTCTTTAGAAGTTCGAAAATTTTATGCTTGGTGAAGTGTAGGACAATTTCACCTATAATGGTGAGTTTTTATCATTATTTCGATGATATTTTTTTCATGTACATATTAAATTGGCATAATCTTTTCCGACATCCTAAATCCTTATGGATTTTTCTAGGTAGATATACGGTATTCCAACTCTTCTGCTGGGTACTTATTGAAGACAACAGTGTATTTCCGTAATCCCCATGAGCTCTGGTGGAAAGTTTTGAAAAATATGTGGTTTTTGGGAAGCAAGTTATATGGAGTGTACTGAAAACATACAGCCTCATTCATACTTGGATGTTTTCTGGGATGTTGAAGCAGTATGAGACCAAAACTGAATTCTGAATTGAAGGTAGGTATAAAGCTCTAGTTCATCTTTAAACTAAGATACTTGAACTCTACCCCTTTATTGGTAAGACAGACTGAACCCAGAAATAACAGAAAGAACATCTAATTCTTGTAGAAGTTGTAGATGATGCTCACTCATATATGATTCATGGCTTGGACTGCTTGATGTCAATTTGGTCATTCATTGATTTACTATTAATTGTTGTAAAACCAAATGAAATTTGGGAGTAAGAAACAAAATTGATTGATTGGCTTTTGTTATACCTATTGTCAAACATGAATGAGATAGTTTTATATTATTATATAGAGTATATTGTATTGTTTAGTGGGTTTTTTAAATGTACCTACATTTTACTCTCTAAACCCTCAGAATTAGAAGGATATATTGCAATTTATAATGTTTTGTGAAGAGTGTCCTGGCAATATACCAGTAAAGAGCTCTATATTTTAATTCACTTTTTGTTACCTTGCAAGACATATGAATTCAATTTTCCATTTTATTGACAATTCCTACTACTTTCACCAGTTGGAATCCAAAAAAACGCACCTATATATTATATCAATGAACTTGAAGTTCAATATTTAAAAATTTCAATTTTTACCTGTGAATAATGCATATATTATGGATCATCAAATTTGGGTTACAGATTATCCTTGGATTTTCGCCTACCCACATAGGACATGTTGGCATGGATTTGCCTGTCCAGAAAGGAGTATATTTTGATATCTCTGATATGGTGTTTTTTTTTGGGGGGGAAAGGCGGAAAATTATTAAGGTCAATTAATTGTTATTACAGACATTTTAAGGAAGTTTGGAAATGGCTTTTTTCAAATATGAATTATATTCATTTGAAATACACTCTCCAGCAAAACAAAAACAGCCACCAAAAAAATTAGCAAAGTTGTTCCTCCTGTAACTTTTTTAATTCTTGTTTGATTTTGGTGAAATTTTGACCAAATCATTCATTCATGTTTCAGAATGTTGGCCTGAATATTAGTACCTGAGAGAAACTGATGGCTGGATCATTATTCAGGAATAAACAAAAGTTACTCATTCACCCTCAACTTCTCAACACAATGTGGCAAAAATGAGTGGTTAAACTTAGTTTCATCATGTTTTCCATTGATGGTGTGATCCCAATCTTAATACAATGGTTTTTGATCCACTTTGATAACCACACTTTAAGAGAAGACAACAAGGTTTCAAGAAAGTATGGATTTTTCTATTTTTATTAACAATACTTCAGAACAATAATTCTCCAACCTTCTGCTTCATCATGTTTTGAATTGAAGTGTAATCCTATTTCATTCCTTCTCAACACAATAGTTCTAGATTTACATCAATATCTTAATTTTCTCAAGAGAAGATATGGGTGTTCAAAAAAGTATGGAATATTTTCCAGGAGGGCATAGCTACTCCTTATATTGACTACAGGTCTGCTGTTTATTTATTGTAATTGAGTTTTCTTCTGGTAAGTGCTAAAAAAATGAGGTAGAAATAAGTGGTATTAATTTCCTAAGTTGTTAATCAGTAAGTATATTATTATGTATAGGTTCTGATTATTGATTAAGAATTGAAAAATTGCATACTTTCTGAAAACAATATATCTACTACTCTGTTCTTCTCTCATAAGATAAGATCATGATGTGAATAAAAAACTATTGTGTCAAGAATGGATCAAATCATCAGCTTTTCACGGAACCAAATATTTATAGGCTAACATTTGGGAACATGATTCTTTGATTTGATCCAAATTTCACAAGAATTGGTCAAGTATTAGAAAGTTACAGGGGGAACAATTTGGGCAAATTTTTTGGTGGCCGATTTTTCTTTGCCGGTGAGTGTAGTTGGAAATGAATTGATAACTGAAACTTGCTAATAAGCTATTAGCTCTTTCTTCTCGAGGCTTCTTAATTAAAATAAATCTCAACACTTCGGATCAACCTTGAACTAACCTGAACTTGTGTTTTGTGTTGGTCTTTTGTTTTTGAGATGAGAGGTAGAATGAATGCATCAGTGGCGTGCATATAGGGGTCCTATATATCATCAAAAAAGAAATTATTCTTGAAAAAAATAGGGAATATCAACAATTATTTTTCCTAGATAACTATCCTATGTATACAGGGTGTTTCCGAAATGGGAGCGATAAATGAATTATTGGGCAATATGTGACATAAAAAATTTGAGGTTTATTGAATTTTGAAGTTTTACTGTACTTTTCATATAGCTGAACTTAGCGTTAGCTTTCAGTAAGGAACTTTCAATAATAGTTGTGAGATGCTGTGGTATTCGCCATAGAAAATAACACGTCGCCCCACCTGACGGCAGCAACTTGAACACTTCTGAGCGGTATGTTTTGATGATATGACCAATAAGCACAAACAAAAAACAAATGTGAACCAATATGAAAACAAAGTAAACATGCCGCTTTGGCAGCTTTCAAGAACTACGATAGGTGGCGGTGGCGTACGCTGATTTTCTATCGCGAATAGGAAAAATGTCTTTCTTAAGATTTATTGTTTCTTATTAATGTGTCATAGAACACCTGATTTGAATTATGAATGATAGTATTAATATACAGTGAGGACGTAAAAAGTCCTCCCCCCCCCCCCCCTTAACTTTTGAACGGAACAAGCTATCGAGGACGAGTGAAATTCAGGTAAAAAGGTACTTCTTTCACTACTTTTCGGCATAAGAATGATTGTGGTCACGTGGCCTAGTGTCAAGAGGGTACCATCAACTTTTTTTTTTCAAATGTAGAAGGGGGTCACGTGGCACCTGGTTTTGAAGGCCTTCCGATTCTCTATCCAACACCGCTGTGTTTGTGAAAATCGACCAAGCCGTTTCAAACTGACAAGCTATTGAAATTTGCTTCAAAAATTTCACAAAAAAATTATTTCATTTCAACTATTAATTGCAGCAGAATTTCAACTCCGTCACTGATTATGGTCGAAGAGTAAATTTTTTGTGGTAAGACAGGTGCGCATATTATTGGTATTTTAAAATGTGGTTTTTGTTCCAGTTTTTTTTACCTTATTTATTTTGCTGGAGACTCCAAATATCATTTCATTTCAATGCCAGTCTAATATTGACGTTAATCATATCGATACTTTTGACAGTTCTCATAGGTTTAAGCTTGTTTTTATAATTTTCAAATGCCTCGTCAGTTTGAAACGGCTTGGTCGATTTTCACAAACACAGCGGTGGTGGATAGAGAATCGGAAGGCCTTCAAAACCAGGTGCCACGTGACCCCCTTTCACATTTGAAAAAAAAAAGTTGATGGTACCCTCTTGACACTAGGCCACGTGACCACAATCATTTTTATGCCAAAAAGTAGTAAAAGTAGTACCTTTTTACCTGAATTTTACCCGACCTCGATAGCTTCTTCCGTTCAAAAGATAAGGGGGGGGGGAGGACTTTTTACGTCCTCACTGTATACATATATTATTGAATGAATTCCACTAATAATAAGCACTGTAATAATAGGTATTATTGTGTATTAGATTAGAAGAAAAACCTGACAAAAAAATGAAGAGGTCGTGTGGCGACCACATGAGGAAGGAAATTGAAATAGTAGATTGGAACTACGAAAATGCCAAAGATTGGAGTTATAAGAGCAGTGCAAGTATAGTTGTCAACAGGTCCTATGTCCATCCTATTATTTGATGTTCCTTTTCATTTGATCAGATCCCTAGACCCAAGGTAAGTACTTATACAGGGTATAACTATATATACTAACCCAGCCCGTCTGACATGGCAGTGACGTCTATGCGACATAGAATGCGATATCGCAGGTCACAATTGTTACATCGCTGCAATATCTCTGTGATATAACAACTGTGTTTGCTGGGAATTAATGATATTTTGTTACTATACATACATATACTCAAAACTGTAATGCAATTTCATGATTTAGCATGAGCAGAATGCACAGGCAAAAGTATTTTGATTTATTTCGTGAATTCAACAGTGTTGGGTATTTTCATATAAATATGTAAAATGATTGAGAAATTGGCCTCTCTATTTTACCATCATAAGTATATAGAGGGAGTAGGGACGGGAGCCCTTTCATTGTCTAAAGGTTATACTAATCCTTCCTATCAGAAAGGGTAGGGAGGGGCTGTCCATGTGCAGGTGGTCGCACTTTTCTTTCTACTTTCAATGCCATGCCATCATCGAGACAAGACGAGACGATCGACTCGACATCAAGCAGATCACGCAAAGTCACGACCGTCAGTAGTAGAGTCACGTAGTATCCCGACCGAATCGAGAGATTCTCGTCGTGGTCTAGTTAAGTAGTTTTTCATCCATCGTGAGCATTCCACCACGCCGTGGTTGGTGGTGGCGACGATGATAATAATGATATACGTGGCATGGCATGGGACGGCAAGCAAGGCCTACTACGACCTTCACCGCTGTGCCGTGACAGTCGTGTAAAACTACCGACCGGCGCGCAATCCTCTTCTTATTTTGGCGTCCGTCCGTCCGTCGTCGTTCGGAAATCGGAAAAGTGCCCCGCTGCTGTTTTGTCGCGCTCCGTTCGCGTAATGATAGCCGTCGTCATCGTGTTGAATGAGGAGCACCGCCAGGGGAAGGGATAAGGGGTTGCCTAACTCTATTGATTTTTAGGGTGACACTGTCAACCAACTATTGCCGCCGAGCCGAAAAAAATGTACGTACACACGGGAGTGCTCGAAAAATTTGGTTCGATGGCGGGTCCTTCGAACGTCGTTCCTCGCGATTAGGGTGTTTTTGAATGGTGACAATTATTAAGAGTGTGTTTGTTTGTTTGTTCGAATTCGATGAGAACGGTGGTGGAATGTGCGTCTCCTCGGATACCTTGTTTACTGTCGCCGCTAAGCGGCCTCGTGTGCCGTGAGTATGGCAGCGCTCTTTTCGCAGCATCACTTTTGCAGACGGCCCAAGAAGAAACTACTTAGTTGACGCCATTGCCATTATTGCTCCCTTACTAGATTCAGTCTACGGCCGCCGAGGCGATCAAGGTGGGCGTTACTCATCTTTCATCACTAGCTGTTTTCCTTATTCTTATTCCTTCCTAAGTTCCCTACTTTTATACCACAGATGTCTACAAACAACAAATTAAAATAACCCAAATATTCGTACCTGACTCCCACCATTGACGCCACCTTTGTTAATGCAGCTACCTACCTTTCCAACCAAAACAAATACCTTCACCTATTATACCTCAAAAGATTAGGTACGTTTCTATGAAGTTTCCAGAAGTAGGTATATTATTGAACCGTTTAATCAAAATAATGCCAACTAGGTATTTACACACTCGAATGTTTTTGACTTTGTTCTTGTTGATAACATTTGTATAAATAATCCGAGGTTTCTGCTGTTAGAGTTGCCTACCGGCAAGGTAGGGTGCTGTATTTTGTGTTGACGCTAGTACACAGTAATGGCGGCACTGTAGTATTTGGTTTTAGGCTACTAAAGATTGAAACGTGCACTTTGTTGTGTTTATTAACGGGAAACGAGAAGTAGTATTCATCAATTTCTAAAATATCGTAATTTATTTTTGTTAATTAAACAAATACAGTTAGCTTTGTCTAACCATAACGCGAGTGCTACTGCGGAGTCCGTGTTGCATAAAAATATTATAATTCTTTAATAATACAAATAATTTGTTACTCACATATATTTACATAGATAGGATATATGAAAATCATGGAAATATATTATATAAAAAACAATGTGATGTAGGTGTCATCATGCCATCATAACACTGGATTATCCGAGTGAAATAGTGTGGTGTGTGGTGTGAAGATTAAGAATAAGGTTAGGATTTAATAAATTGAGCAACTATGCGGGGGTGTAACTCCTTATCAGGTGCAGAATATAATAATTGAATCAGATATGTGTGCTGAAAGACAAAAGTGATTGAAACAATTTTCATCTTGTGTGAATTTCCCTTGATGGGTTAAATTTTGTCATATATGGTTAAGGTAAATAGCCTGGTGAATATAAACTTTTGAAAACTACCTATTATACCTAATCATCTGATTCTGAATCAAAATAATTGTAAAATAACTGTACATTGAACATGAGGAAGTTGCATTTTTATGTAAATTCACAGTAACAGATTCCTTTCAAGCTCTAAAAAAGTATTTTCATAAAAAATCTGGAATTAAATGTGTTTCCCGAATGTTTTTTTTTTACGTTCAGAAATAAAGGAGGGTTATGTATTCACTCCTTGTTCATAAATAAAATATTCCATTTAGGTATATAGTTGTTAATAATGTCTGTTATTACTGTTAATTTGAGAAAAAATATGTGTAAACAAGAACTGCTAATTATCTACTTCTAACATTTTTCCTTATAGTGACGAAAACTATAAATTGTTGAATATTAATTTTGGTATTATTTCGAAAAATAAATTGCAACAAGTTCTAATTTTCTTGCAATTCTTCCAGCACAAACATTGAATTGATTGTAATGGAAAAATATGAAAAACAAACTGGTAGTCCTCACAGAAAAATTTCAAAAACGTTTCACAATACCACCCCAGGATATTTAAACTATTTTGAATAAAAAATGTTCGCTGCTATCTTCGCGGATGTAATTTGTACAGTGAATTTGGAGTTCAGGCTGATTTTTTAAATTACTCTTTCAGAGTATACATGTCAAATTTTTATTTTTTACTTCATCACCCTGTATCTCGGAAACGGAGCAATTGCGTTAAATCAGATTATTTCGACCTTAGGAATATGTGCTAAGATTTTTTACAGACCTTCCAGGGACACCCTGTATACATATAATATAGGTATGTTCACCTAATCGTGAAAGAAAGTAACTGCTGCACAATGAATGCCTGTATAGTCATTAGGAATTCCTTTATTTTAGCCAATGACTAATACAAGAGTTTACAAGTGAGGAGTTATGTAAAAAACAGTCATGAATATAACATATTATATGAATAGGAATACAAACCATTCAACATACAAATACATACAAGTAAAATTGAAAAAATGAAAATACTTTCTACATCACTCAGGTTCCTACACCCAACAAATATTGTTTTAATTTCCTCTTGAATATATTCAGTGACAATGAGTTTTTTAGAAATTCTGGTAACTTATTGAACTGTTGCAATCCTTTAAATATTATTCACATAGCTCTGTTTTGCAATTTATGAAAAGGCTCTATTTCATCCTGATTTAATGTATATAGTACTGTTGAGCAAAAAGTGAAGTGGGGAAGTATCAAATAATGAAATGAAAATAATGAGTTGACTAGGCCTGTGAAAAAATATCCATATATCGATAAATATGGCTCCCTGAATTCCGTATACGTAATATGAGGAAAGAAAATATCCTTTCTGCATAAGAAAGGATACAACTTTTTCTGAACATTCAAACCTCATTTGGCCTAAATGAACACCCTCCCTAAAAAACATTTTTTTTTCTGAAAATCACTTGAGATAGCAAAAGATACTATACTTTTTCAAAACAATCTAACCTAACTCGGCCTAAATAAACCTTCCTAAATAGTATATTTTTCCATAAATCATTTGAGGGAACATGGGATATTACTTTTTCCAAACAATCTAACCTAACTCAGCCTAAATGAACCTTCCTCCTAAAAAGTATATTTTTCGGTAAATTAAACATAAAGCACAGTATATGGCAAGCAAAGTCGTTAGGCCCACAATGACTGTTTCATTGAATTCTGGCATATACGATAGTATTTGGCAACAGTGCATCCGAGGGGTAAACCCCGGCCAAAATTGTGTACACCAAACTTCAATTTCACAAGGAATTCCAGTTGTTTGTACACCAGAATTATACCGCAATTCACACAAGTAATTCCATGGAACCAAAGGAATTCCAAGGAAATCCAATAAATTCCAAGGAAATCTGAGGAACTCCAGTTGTTTGTACACCAGAATTATTCCGCACTCCACCCAAAGAATTCCAAGGATATCTAAGGAATTCCAAGGAATTTCAGGGAAATCCAATGAATTTCATGGAATTCCAGTTGTTTGTACACCAGAATTATTCCGCACTTCACCCAATGAATTCCAAGGATATCTAAGGAATTCCAGTTGTAAATTCACTTCACTCAAGGAAATCCAAAAAATTTCAAGGAATTCGCCAGTTGTTTGTCACCAAAATTCCACTGCGGTTTACCCCTCGATGTAAATGTGGATGTAACGAGACATGTTTCCCCGTGTAACATGTTGTTTTTGCGTTCTTTTTCGGTGGCGCGTCTCCGTACCCCCGCCCATGCAGGCCTGAGCCGTCCTCCAACGTTAGCGCCGCCCCCCTTCAGCACGCTGCCCGCAGTCACCCTGGAGGACCCCGCCGCCAGCTGGAAGGGACCGCCGCCCGGCTCGGAGCCGCCACCCTTCGGCCAGGGCGGGCCGGGCGGCGGCGGCGGTCCGCCCCCCAACTTCCAGGGCCCGTCGCCGTTCCAGCAGGGCCCGCCGGCGGGGGCTGGCTCGCCGGCCGCCCCGCCCTACCAGGGCGGTCCGCCCCCAGGCTCCACCACGCCCCAGTACACAGCCTCGCCTGCCCCCTCGGGCTCCTCCACGCCGGGGCCCAATCCCAACTTTCCGCCGCCGCCCAACAGCCAGGGACCGCCCTACGCCTCCAAGAATGATGGTGAGAACGAAATGTTAATGTTGTTGTGATAAATCGTCGTTCATCTTCATTTACAGAAGAAAATCTAGCTTTATTTAACCAATTTACATAATATAGTGTTTGGCAAGTCATGTACAAATTCAAGCAAGTGTATCAAAATTTAATATTTTATAACTACTATTGATGACTAGCTGTCTGGCCCGGCTTCGCACGGTTGTGGTTCGGATTCCACTATAAGCTGTAGGTCCCGCTCTTCCTAACCCTAAGCACAAGTTTCGACTTCTGGGGAGTTGGTTCCCAACTTTGAAGTAGCGATATACAAAAAAAAAATGGCCTATTACCCGTTTTCCCATTGGAATAAATCATTTTTCCCGCGATAAAAAGTAGCCTATGTGCATTAGGGATAATGGCTTCTAATGGTCGAGGAATTTTTCAAATCGGTCTGGTAGTTTCGGAGCCCATTCAATACAAACAGACAAACAAATCTTTCCTCTTTATATTGGTATAAAAAATATTGTTGCCCATCAAGTTTCATTGTTTCATTCAATATTATTTCTGATTAAGAACATGTATGACTATTGCCTGACAGTTTGTTAAACACCCTTATATTTTGAGATTCTCCCTGAGGAGCTGATTCCATCAATGCATCACACTTAGGGTCTAGCTGGAATTATTACAGAGATATAGGGCGTTCAAAATCGAGATTTTTCAACTTGAGGATTTTTTTGTGTCGAAACTATTCATTATTTGTCAGAACGGCTTTCTTGTTCAAATTATATGTCAGTAGATAGTGAATCAAAAGTTGGGATAGGGAAATGAAAGCCGTTTCGATCAATAATGAAGAGTTTCCACACTAAACAGAATCCTAATGTTGATAAATCTCGATTTTGAATACCCTATATCTCTGTGATCATTCCTGCTAGACCCCAAGTATGATGCATTGATGACATCAGCTCTCCAGGGAGAATCTGAAGATGCAATAGAATACAGGTTGTTCCATTTCAAATAATAAAGTTTTTGCTACTTTTTGATAGAAGCGACAACGCCGCAGCACTGAAAATATTTTAGAATGATGTGTCCCTCGAAAATATAGTTGATGTGTTCCAGTGTTCTTTCATAATCCGGTTCTGACGACCCACAGAACCTCTGTTTCATTTTCAATGGGCCACATAATATAATGAACTCATTATGGATGCAAAATATTATAGCAAAAGTCATTTCGCATTCTTATTTAAATTCTCGTTCTAGTGTACAACGGTCCCGGCGGTCCGGGAGGTGGCCCGTTCGGATCGCCCAGTGCGGGCGGGCCTTTCGGGCGGCCCGGCTCATCTGGCCCCGGCCCCGGTCCCTTCGTGGGCGGCAACCACTTCCAGCACTTTGGCCCGCCCGGACCTGGCGGGCCCCCCTTCGGCATGCCGCCCGGCTCGCCCTTCGGCCCTGGGCCAGGCCATCCAATGTCCGGGGGGCCCATGGAGCCTGGACCGCCCCCGCACGGCATGATGGGCCGACAAATGGGCGGGCCCATTCCCGTCGATCAAGGGTGAGTTTCTGTCTCTCTGTTCTCAAGTTAAGGAGTGCGTTAGAGTCCGACCACGTTAACTTTGGGACAGCATGTGACGCAACGCATATACATATTCAATGCATACGCGACCACGTGCTGTCCCAAAGTTATCGTGGTCGGACTCTACCTTCGTATTTTCTAAATCGTTGACCGATTTGAAATTTCATTTTCAACATGACTTATTCAATATTGATTTATCTCATTGAACCGTCACAAGACCAACTATGATGATGAGAAAAACCGAATAATAACTTGGTGAACAAATGTGAGAATGCAAGGGTGGTACTGCTCAAAGTGGGACACACTGTTTTGGAGAAACTATGGTTCGAAATTTGCAACGCTAATTCCACCTACTTCCAGTCAATCTGTTGACCTAAAATTATGAGTCACTATATGCCCTAGTTGATTGTGTATTGTATTAATTTTAATCAGTACTCTTTACCGTTTCTTATGCCAGGTTGTTCAAGCAGTATACCCTCTTCTCTCTTTTTATATTTACACTTTTTGATTTTTACTCAGAATTATCTTGCTGACAATTCCGAAATAAAAAATTGCAGTAGCTCACAAAATTTCGTGGTAACCTTGAATTTGACTTCCATACAATGGCCTTTCAATAGCAACTCATTTCAATAACAATTATAGTAATTGAGCGTTTGAAGTCAGAAGGAAAAAGGAAAGACGGAAAAGACTTCCTATTCCTAGCAGTTTTTGAAACTTCATTGTATATTGTAGTAATTATTAAATACTGTATCACATTGATTGGAATGTTATGATCTTAGATATTCATTTGAGGGCTTCAACGCGAAAAGCTACTATAAATATGAAGGTGAATGGTGAATATCACTACTATGGCTAAGGGAACAAATTGAATAAAAACTCGAAAATACTTCTAAATAAATTCTCAACAGTGTGAAACAGAAATGTGTCAAATAAATGATACCAAATCTATAAATATTCAATTTCTGAGCAAACTTCCACTGTCATGATAGTGGTTTATGTCAGTGGTGGGGCCTGACGAAAATCTGGACCATTTTCAAAAACCCGCCCGGACCTCTAACAAGATAATGCGAAATGCGAACCATTGAACAAACGAGAATTTTTAAATGTCGCGAAAGTTTTTTTGTGGCACTTCCCCGATCCTCCTATTCAAATAATGGCACCCCACCTGTAAGGCCCACACGCGATCCGTTCATTGTTTGATCTCGATCGTACTCGACGTGAATATAAACAATAAAATAGCCGTAGATAATATAAAGGGTTGGTTGACATTTTTCTCTAGGGATACCCCCGAGCGTTACCTATGCGGCGCGTGCATGTGAATATTTCTGACGTTCCACCCCCTAAACTCCCTAGACGACGAGTTCGTGAGTTCACATACGTGTTACGTGTTGTAGGTATTCGTTTTCTAATACCAATTGAAAATTATGCAATGCCAAATAAAAAGATACTCTAAAATCTAAAAACTCCCTTTTTAGTAGCGCTGGAAAACAAATAGTTATTTATTAGACAGAAAAACCGTGAGCTAAAATCTGATATTTTCCCGTGAATAATATACTTTTTTTTTTCTGTGGCAGAAAAAAGGACCAATCAGTATTTGTCATTATCTTGAGTTTTTAACAGCAATTACACCTGCGGTTAGGGCATCTTCTTGCAGGCATCTTTATCATTCTTTTGAAGTAATCAAATATCTGTCAGTCTAATTCTTTTTTTTTATTTTGAAAAATTTTGAACTTAGTGGCTGTTTAGTAATTTACGTAACTTCAGTTCTTTCTCGGAGATGGTGTTATTGGCTTAATTTTCGGAACTGGCACAACAAAAGCCATCAACAGTGCACTTATACGGGGTATGTCACGACGAGCTTACACTATCTCTATATCGAGAATCAGTCGGGAGAAATCCATGAAAATATGCATGCTTGTATTTTAGAATACGCTGACGCTCTCTTCATTTAAAATATTTTCAGCAATGCAGTGTTGCCGTTTCTATAAAAAAATTGCAACAACTTTGTTATTTCAAATAGAATACCCTGTTTTTTATTGCATTTTTAGATTCTCTCTGAAGAGCTGATTCCATCGATATGTCACACTTGGGGTCTATCGTAAATGATTACAGAGATATAGGGTGTTCAAAATCGAGATTTTTCAACTTAAGGATTTGTTTGTGTCGAAACTATTCATTATCGGCCAAAACGGCTCACATGTCCCTATCTCAACCTTTGATTTACTATTCAATTTAATCAGAACAGATACAGGGTGATTAGAATTTTGAATGTTGAACCAGTTCAGAACTATATTATTTTATATTAAAAGCTGAGCATATTATTACTACTCTAGAACTATATTTTTGACGTTTGTAGAAAAAATGTTTGCAGCTCGTGCGCGAAATACTTTGGTCATCTCGCTGCGCCTCGTTGAAAAAATCAATTCTCGATCACCAGAGTAGCATTTCGCGCAATAGATACGAAAGTAACTATTTTTACAATTTTTTTACTCATGATATGGTAAAAATAGGTAATTGTTTTAAAGGTAGGAGGAAATCTAATTTCCATTTCAAAGACATTTGACCTTTGAATAATTTTAAAAAATCGTATGTGGCGCTTTTCTCAATCGTGTTATAGGTAATAGCTATGCTTGATACCAAAACGTACATTTTCAAAATCTGTTCATCCTAAATGATCAAGGTGATGGTTCGAATAATGGCTGATTTTGCATCTGATTTCAGTAGTAGATAGCCCACATCGAAGAGATGTTGAGTCCATTTCGCTTCATGCGGATCGGCCAAAGGATGTCTCGTCCTCACGTGTTGAAAACTATAAAGTTTAGGGAGAACCAAATTACTTGGCAACGGCGTACGAAACGCAAACAGCAAGCTAAGCGAGAGGCCGATGTGAGAGAGATCGCTACTAGCTCGATTGGTCTATACTTTGGTCACCGCGTCGGGGGCACCTGTTTTCCTTCGATATAGCACTCGCTAGCTCTAGCATCGGCTAGCTCTGCTTTAATCCACCGCTTTCGGCGAGTTTTATCAACATTAAGGACGTTTTGGCGAGAACGGATGTCGCTCATCCAAAGGTTACATTGTGCATTTGCAGTAGTTACTCACTATTCATTCACACAGTGGACAGTGGTCAAAGGAAATTGAGTTCTAGTTGATTCATCCAATTCATCAAAAAACATTACGTATCGCCAGACATACATATCGGGGCTAACATGCTCAGATTACATAACTGTCCTAGCCTCTTAGATTGCCGATTGTCTTGTCTTCTTGCAGAAGTAGTAACTAGATACGTTGTAGTAAATATGAACGTCTACTGCCTTTCCTTTGAAGACTATATTATGTCCTAATTTTTAAATTCCACGTTCTACCTCGCTTATCGAAATTGTGTCTGATAACACCGAAGATAAGACCGGTTGACGGTGCTAAATTTATTTCGACCTACTTGCTTGATTAGGAAGTAGGATAAACTATTATGCGTTTCGCTTTTTCATAAAACATATACTTTATCAAGTCAGCGGTTTAGGTATGTTGGATGTTACTGTATTCAATTACTTTTTCTGTAAACCCTAAACTGATGTTATTCGCATTGTACACAAACCCACAAAGCAGATGAGTTAGCATCAATAGGCATTTTCGGAAACTGACTCCAGGTCTCCAACCTGATCCAAATAGATCATGTGACGGGTCACTCATATCTGACTTAGATCACCTACCCAGATAATAAAGTTCACGAACGTGTTAGGTTAGGGATATTGGCGCGCCATGGGTCCAAATCTTTTGCAGTTTCACTCAGGGTTGGATTTGAAAACACTGAATGAAAACTCATCTGCGTTTATAGGACAGTATAGATTTATTTCACCAGAAGAATATCAATTGTAATATCTAATCGTACATCTCATCATTCATCCTCATCAAAACATTTTTCGATGCTGTTATTGTTTGGAAGATTGCAGATTTCTTTTTATTCATTCTATTCATTTAGCTCCAACAACGCACGAAATATAACCAAAATAAAATAAGGAAAACAAAATAACAACCAAGTTTTCTTATAGGTCGCGTGCACGATGACCGACCCTGGAGGTAAAACTTTGAAACACAACCTCACTTTTCTAAAGGAATCAAGGATTGAAATAGTTTGTCACAATATTTTGACATACGAATCGTGTTTTTTGGGCTATACATTAATTCAAGCATGCCATCACATTGTGCTTGTTGTACAATGCACAAAAAATGTAGCGAGAAACGAAGGAATCCGATTTTTCAGGTAAATAGTGATCTCACATAGTTTTCTTTATAGAATGTTATTTCTCATTAGAATTCTTTCTGCCACTTCTGCAATACAAGCTAACAGTGCTAATGGAGTGAAAATGTCTACAACACACACGATTTTATTTCGTCAGCATGTCAGACCAGTCCTACCGTTTGATTGCACGAATTTCTATACATCTCTCTTCTTGCTTTCTTTTAGAAACTTCACGAGTATTTCTATTAGCTCATTTTGCCGAAGGAATTCCAATGAGAATTGATAAATGACAACATTTCAAAATGAAAACTATAGGTGACTGACTATAGTACTTTTAGATCACGATATACCTACCTGAAAAATCAGATTTCGTCTCGCTGCTTTTTTTGTGCATTGTACAACAGCTCAATGTGATGGCATTTTTGAATTAATGAATAGCCGAAAAACACGATTCGTATGCCAAAATAATTGTGAAAAACTATCAATTTCCAATCTTGTGTAAACAAATAAGAAAAGTGAGGTTGTGTTTCATGTTTTACCTCCAAGGTCGGTCATCTGACACATCTTGCCGCAAACCATTTGCTAATGCGCATGCGGTGCCTTTGTAGACTCTGATGACTCTGCTCTCGAGTAGGGTTACTTTAGACAAACCTGAATTCTGAGTTAGTGATCGAGTAGGCAGCACCGAAGTTTACAAACACGGGTATGCAACTCGGGTTAGGTAAATGAACGTGCAGGT